CCTGAAAAAGCGAAAAAAAATCTATGACAAATTATACAGGCAATTAATTCATGGACTGGAGAATAACAAAAGATATTCATTTATTTTCCTGATAAATATATTTTTTCTGCGACGGGAAAAAAGTTTGACATTTCATCTCTTTTGACAGTTCAGTATATAGGCTCTCTGCGTCCCAGAAAGAACTGCAAGTCCTCTTCATCTTCAAAATCAAATCACAGAATTAAATTGACAGATATTTTATTACTTCAAAAGGTTTCCATAACAACAAGGATGCCTGCAAAAAGATGCGTGCAACGCAGGTGTAATTGGCGCAATATTTATTCACACAAGTTTTATATTTCGAATTATAATTGATACTGAATAATTTATTGAAACAAAGAAAACTATTCACACAAACTCCAAAAACATCATTAAAACAACAATCACGACAAATGTAAATTCTTATTAATACGGATGAATGCTCGTCTACTACGAAACTTCACGTTTATCTTGAATGCTTGAATTTACTCCTATTCATTATTTTGTTATGTACCTCACAATAGCTGATGAGTTTATAATCATTGGCCTGAGTTCCTATAACACTCAAGTTCTTATCGGTATATTATTACGTAGGATTTTTGAGTAATAGGAGCTCCGGAGTTGATGGAGTGGATTACAATATAATGACGTATTTTCTGAAAGGGTTTTTCCTAAAGATACGATCAACTGATGGTTTGAAAGATTTTCAATTCTCTTTTCGAGTTCGAACCATGAGGGTTTGATATGTTTCAGCTACAACACAGTGTATACCTACTATTACCACAGGACATGTTGAAATTCATTCATATTATTATTAGATATCAAAAACGGAGAAAAACTTTCCTGGAATACATGGAATTCTTATCTCAACATAATATAGTGTTATTTAATGTTAAAACCAACAAATTATTGAATTAGGTATTAAGGGAAACAAAACAATCTCGTTAATTTCAGCGTGATGCTTTTGTAATAAGATCCCAGTTCACCAGAAAATTCATTTGTTTTTGTTTGTTTTACAATCCATTCATCCGCCTGAATTCCCGTAAAAACGCTAAAGGAAAATATATCATGCTATTGTTCTCAAAATATCCCTTAGAACTGAATATATGAAACAACCAAACATACGCCCTAATACTAGTACACAATTATTAGATTCAATTAATATACAGAAATAATTACGATGATTCAAATAATGGATGAAAATTTACCAGAAGCATTATTTGATTATCTCTCATCAATCTCACAATGATTCCATATAGAACAACACCAATCAATCCGTGTCTATAGATTTACGTGTGTCTTTAACTATGTGAACTTCTTCAGAAGGAGATTGAAACTGATGAAAGAATCTGAATCGCATCATTTTGGTTGATTTTTTTCACGCCATTTTTCCTTGAACTCCACAATTAATGAATATTCGAATATTTGAATAATCGATCCAAATTATTTTGACGTTGATTTTGGTGACAGTGACGTGACAAAATTCATGAATTCGACTATTATTTTGTCATCCACTTAATTCTGATAGATCAAAAAAAGGATAATTTCTATTTGATTTATTCCAAGGACTATACAAGCAAATGTGAATTCAGTGAATTGAGAATACTTAATCCACAGAATTTGAATATAAAATATGAAGAAAATCTCATAATAGCTTAATTTGAATTGATTTGTCACTTTATGTGTCCAGTGGTTTGACTGAAGCATCAGAGAACAATGTACTTGATTATTTGATCGATCGCGTTTCCAGTGCAGAAACCTAATTTCTATTCTTTTATATTAACATCAATTCATATGAATACACCGTTCCGTTCACTCTACTTCCATTGTTCGTATTCCACAAAGCAACTCCACACTGAAATAAATTTTTCAATTTGCACCTGCAAATTTTTTCCTCTGCTTTGGGCGCTAGAAGAATGTGTGAAGGAAAATCCTCTATTGCGTATTGTTCTTGTGTACCAGCGAAAAATTGCATTTCTACAGTATACAGTACCGAACTAAGGGAGGTGAGAAATTGCCTGGCCATGATAACAATGAAATTGTTAGTATATCCTCTTTCCTTAGGTTATCAACTGATCCAAAAAGAAAAATAAAAGGCAACTCACAGAAATTATTAAATGAGATAGTATGCTCGGGTAATGCTTATTGTCTCAAGAGTTACTCCTTTTCTCTGAATATGAAAGTTTTCAATACGAGAGATGTGCTCGGGCTCGGCTCAAGCGGCGGCGGCGAAAATAAAATCTTTTGATTTCACGAACAGTTTCACATGCATTTTCCGTTGTCCAAGTTCATCTAACACGCCATTCTCCTATCCTTTACGATGAAAGGAGTTGTTTGTTGGAACACTTCTTCCAGCATCATGTCCTGTTTTCTTTTTCAAATACTCCGTATAAGGTTTGGTTAGTGGTAAATTTATAAAGGAAATCTTTCGAAGTGTTCACCATAATAACATCAAATCTGAGAGTTAATTTTATTGTCGGTAAAATGTACCAATATTCAAAAATTCCTACAACAGAACAGTCATTATTCCAAACCCTTGATTATCACAATAATCAGGTTGACAGAATAACGAATTCGAATCAATTAGTCCATACCATCCGTATCGATTTAGGCGCTTGGCTTACATTTCTTAAAATGTGCATAGTTACTTTGCCAAAAATATCGTGTTTTTTGCGAATAATTGAACATTGAATGATGTGTATTAGTCTAAGAAGTATGTTCAATTTTGGCTTTTGCTTTATGCGACTAAATCATTCAATATAAAGGTAGTATTTTATTTTTGGATTTTGAAATTGGCAAAGTATGTATCCACACAGCTTGTGGTTACTTTGCCATGTAATATGTAATGTAAAGTATGTAAAAATTCATGTTTGGCAAAGTTATTGATTCTTCAAATGAGATAACTCACCATCCACTCATAAATATACAGGGTGTTTCACAGAAAAAGGGAAATATTTCAATAGTACATAGGGGTCACCAAGGTGGTTCTGAAAATACCATATTTGATAGGTCTTAGAGTCTTCATAACGGAGATACAGGGCGATTTATCGATTTCGAATAATTATTCATTCGTCTATATGTATTGACCTACCCAGTATATTTTTCTAAAATTTGGTATGGAGCTTATACTTGGGACGTTGAATTCATTCACCTATCGGACGAAGTGAAAATCCAGGTTCGGCTTCAGGAAAAATTTACATTCATTCGAAATATTGAAATGACACACTGTATGTAATAATTGACAGAGTTCATCAAAGGAATCGTGAAGAGGAAGAAAAACTGAACTGGATTTGATGCTTTCTGTTTTCCTGCCACCAATTCTCTTCGTAACAATCATATGAATATGCGTTTTAATGTGTTTAACATGTGATGAACCTCATATTCGTGTCCATCTTCAACAATAATATTCATGAAGAAAGAAAAAACAAATTTTAAAACAAAATGGAATCAGTGGAACTAAACTAAGAGGAGTCAAAGGGCCCTCATATATTCAGGACGGGCAATGATGACATCCACAAGCTGCCTCTCATAATATGTAGTATATGACTTTGATAAACCGAATTTCTGAGGTTCTGCATTGTAATCTTTGTATATTGAATATTTTTGACGATGTCTTACTTATGGCGTTAACAGTCTGTTTTAATTTTTCAAGAGTGTGATTCATATAATTGCGACTACTCAGTACTTTTTGTGCTTTTCAGGCATGTTTATAGATCTGCAAATCATAACATGAATGTATGGCAAAGTAGCTCCGAACTTAAAAATTAAAAACGTGAAACTTTGCCAACCCCCGAAAATTCGTCAAGTTATCCGTATATTGTTTTGAAAAACTTTGAGAACATTAATAATATGCATGTTGAGGTCACTGCTAGGAAGACATTGAAATAAAACATTCCAGGAGATACTTACGGAACCAACTGTCGCACGTACACAAAAACTCTCGCCAAATTGGCAGGTGGTTTTCGGCACCTAGAGCTCTGAACTTTCTGGAATCTATATTGATACCAGACTAACAGAGGCTCCTGAAGAACTGTTAAGCGAAGTCTCTCGCCCATTAAGTATTAACAGCTGAGAAATGAAAATCCTATTTAGATTGTTCACGAACTCAAGTTAGCTGGAGTTGCAAACTAACAACGTTTCATAATATAATTTAGGAAAAAATAACTATGTCAAGATGGACTGAAAATATATAATAGCATTCCTTTAGATATAAGACTTTCAAAGGGGCCCAGTTTAAAAGCAAAATTAAAACAGAATTTTATGACCAATCAGGCGATATGAATGTAGATTGTTATATATAAAAAATCAGCTACTTACTACGTGCAATGGGCTTTTCATTTCCTTAGGTATAGGTACTCAATTATATAAGACAACTCAGATATTTTTTTGTTTTTTAGCAGGGTAATAATCATTATTCGCAAGAGCTGGGTATATAATTAATTAACGAATGTATTTCCTGGTATCTCAATTCATATACCGTTTTTTTTTTCAGACTTTCTATCCTAATTATCATTTATTCTTCTTGGAATAAATGAAGTCTTTCTTTCTTTCTTCCTTTCTTTCTTTCTGTCTCTTTCTTTCTTAAAAAAAAATGTATCGAAATGGCTGCAACCTCTCGATATTGCTTACATGGGTGATTTGGGGCAATTAGCGTTTCGCAACTTTGTAGTATTGATTGAATGAGAGATCGAAAATATAATGTGCTCAATGTTTGAATTTAGAAAAATGAATGTGAACCTTCAGAACGATAATTCAATTATCATCATTATATTCCATATTTCTTCCCCATATACGCGACAATACCACATTAAAATGTCCTTGAACAGGACCTCGCTGGATGAATTTTCCTTAGTACGGCACTGCCATAGAATACCTGAATGTTTGTAATTTATTTTGCAGGTTTTCCACAAAAGAATCGGCCACGCACGCCATTGTCGCCGTACATAACACCGATATCAACGGACAGATTGTCAAATGCTCCTGGGGAAAGGAATCTGGTGATCCCAATAACGCACCTGTGGCAGGACAGGTAAAAGCAAGCACATCAAACATATCTATACACATTAGCTCGCAAAAGGTTACTACCAAACCGCCATTGAATTTTTCATATTCATCAATAAAACTGTTTTGTTACAGACCACAAAAAATGTCTTCATGCCAACACATTGTCGTACGCGAGCATTATCATTCGAAATATTCCTAGTAATATATTCATTAGTCGACAATTGAACGGAATGCTCATTTTCATTCCATGGAAGAATATCATGGGAATGTTTAATCGCTTTTTATGAGTTTCTAATATAGGCAAGACCTAACCACGTGCTTTATGTAAACAAACATTCGAGCAATATCCGTAAGTAACTTGGCAACAGCGCTCTGCTCTATTTAACAACCAGGTACACGATGCGATGTAGCCACACTTCTCACACTGGATCTCTTTTGGTGTGCACCTCATATACAAGGGAACAGCCAATGTGTCTAAATATAACGTATAGAATTATGATCGAAACTTAAATATTTTCTCAAATCAGCGAATCGTAGAAATAGGAAAGCAGCAGAACTGTATTCTGTAGAACCGTAAAGTATCATGATGTTGAACATCGAGAAGTACTTCATCGGAATATAAAATTTCAGAACATAAATTATCTCACAGTTATAATATGTCAAAGTGGTGTCAACAAGAAACATCATTACATCAAATCAGTATTTTATCAGAACTATATCCTATGATAACGCTTTCGTCTCATACTCCCAAATGAATCTATTACCTGTATAAGAAGAGCAATAAACCATGATTTGTGATGTTTATCGCCAGACAATTTCTGTTATGTGCTGCACTCACTGAGTCGTGACGTCAGTAGTCATTAGTAGCAAATTTCGATCATTACTCAATTTGTGATTTTGAGACCTTGAAATCATTCAGAATTCTTTTTTTGTTTGAAAAATAGGAAAATGTGTGATGATCGAGAATGAAAATTGAAAAAAAAAACAGGTCACTAGCACATTTTTACCAGCTTGAGGATTGATGTTTCAAGGAAATAGATGTAATAAACCAGGTCTGATGGTGAATGGGGTAGGAGTGTTTCAAACAACCATGAAGACATGGTCAAAAAATTCATTTTATTTGGTTCTTTGGGATTTTCTCTCCTCGTTTCTATAAAATAAAAGTATTCGTATTATTTCAATATATTTGTAGAGGGACAAATCAGATGATTTGCCCCAAAATGTCACTGCGTTTAACAAATTTTTCTATCAGGGAGTCTAAAAGAAAAATCCAGTAGCTTGTCAGTGACAATTTGTTTGAAAAAATTTTTGAAGGAAAGAAATATAGATATATTGAAAAAATATCGAATTTGTACTTATCTTTGGACGTTTCGGGACCGATTCTGCTCCCGTTCTCAACATGTAAATGCAAATTATTTTTCTTTGAAATTTTTGCTGCGTATAGTTTGACATTGAAAAGTGTCAAACTATACGCAGCAAAAATTTCAAAGAAAAATAATTTGCATTTACATGTTGAGAACGGGAGCAGAATCGGTCCCGAAACGTCCAAAGATAAGTACAAATTCGATATTTTTTCAATATATCTATATTTCTTTCCTTCAAAAATTTTTTCAAACAAATTGTCACTGACAAGCTACTGGATTTTTCTTTTAGACTCCCTGATAGAAAAATTTGTTAAACGCAGTGACATTTTGGGGCAAATCATCTGATTTGTCCCTCTACAAATATATTGAAATAATACGAATACTTTTATTTTATAGAAACGAGGAGAGAAAATCCCAAAGAACCAAATAAAATGAATGTACCACCTCCTCGATTAACCTACAGACAGTATGGTCAAAAAACTTATCTATAAGCTCACGAAACATTTTAGTTTTTGACCTATTTCTATTTCTACAATTTTTTTTCCTTGTAATGGATTCACAAACCATCCTGTCCCAGAGAAATCATAGTTTTGAAGTCGAAGTCGGAGTTGAATGAGCTGTAAACTTAGATGAAGCCATTGTCTATCATCTACTATTTTCACTAATAACAATATCTTGATTCTCAGGCAATAGCAAGTACATCGTTTCCCTACAGCGCGTATGGCCAGCAGCTGAGCTACTGGTACCCCCAAAGCTACCCTGCAGCTGCAGCTGCAAGTTCTGCGCAAATGCAAGGTCAATTTCTAGGTGGCATGCAAGGATATGCTTATGGTCAATTCGGCGGATATCAACAATCATATATGGGGTAAGTGAATTACAAAAATGTGTGATGTGGAAACACCTCCAATCTAATTTCGTTCTAGATAAGTCTTTAGTAGCATGATTTCTGAGGCCGAAGCAAATTCACTTTCATTGTAAAAAGATGGCAAACATGATTGTCTGATGCAATACTGGTGAACCCAATTCAAAAACGAAAGAGCATTCTGGATGCATCCGTCTTCGAAGATTCTGAAGACTGAGCTTTTTCCATGTTGAGGAAGGCAATATGGTTGTCGAGAGAGTTCAATTGTTCGAAAAACTCCTGCTTCCTTTTAGAGTCGGAAGATTTGCAGTAGAGCATCCAAACTTTCGTTGAATCCACCTATCTGATCATTGATCTTGTGGAATATTTATTCATTTTTTACTTTCGGAGTTGCGTATACCTAGAGAGGATGTAGCCATTGGAATTTTTTCAACTTCTGGCGGTTATAAGTTCTTGGAAATACTTCTTTCCGCAAAAAAGTCCAATGCTTTGCCGATCTATAGACGAACGGGTTCTTGTAGGTCTCCATGCCAAGCTGAGTGTAACGTCTGTCCAGCAAACCGATGACATGGAAGCCTTCCGTCCACAAGCTGCACACCTTTTAGGATGACCCAATGGTATACGCCTATTCCAACATCTATTCCAATAAATCATGAAAATCATCCATGTCTCAATAAATTCCAATAACCTCCGTGTACTCTGACCATTCTCATTCCACTTGTGCCTTTTCTTTGGGGTTGGTCTCTACTCGTGGAGGTACTTGGATCTTAGATCATCCTATGCACCTTGTCCTATTGCATTCTCAAGGTCCTCAAGGGTCTCGCATTTTTTCTGGTTTTCTTCTATAGTTCCCATTCCCTACCTCACGGTTCATTCAGAGGTCAATGTCGGGTTAATACTATTACAATCGTTTGGCTATACCGTCATTTGATATTTGGCAAAAAGTGCTTTCCAGCAAAAAATAACATCAACGAATCTGCATCTCAAAAAGTTAGTTTTTATATCATATTCATGAAACCAAGAAATTCACAGTAGAACAAGAATGGTTTTGCAAGATTCATCTTGCAATCAAGCCATAATTGGTAGACTTATCTTGCGGATAGGGCAATGAGGAGACAACATATTTTTTTCGTTCAAAACCATTATTGCAAGATAAATGTTGCATTGATTCTGATATCAAGATTAGTCTAATTGCAAGATGTATCATATTATTATAGTTATGATTTTGAACGAAAAAATAAATATTTTATTTCATTATTGCATTTTTCGCAAGATAAATCTTGCGATTGAAGTAATTGCAGGACTCAACTGTCAATTCTAGGGTTTTCAATTTTCGGGTCAAAGATCCCGTTTCGAAATCCAGGAATTGAAATCAAGATATTGGGATCGCGGAGTCTCAACCCTAGCAACAGAAGTTACAAGAATGCAGAAATACATATTAAAATAGTGTTTTGATTGAAAAATCCAAACATTAAAATTATTTTTAATAATTATATATTTAGGAATGAATAGAAAATCTAAGATCATGAAACATGAAACTAGGAACAGAAATAGTGGGTAAAATGACATTAAAATGTGCAATTAATATATTTTTTAAACATCTGCGTTTTGCTTGATAGAAATAAAATAATATGCCCTTTCAAGCGCGATTTGAGATTGTTCGCAAATAAGACAGCTGAAGAAAAGGCTCTTCCAGCTTCCACACTCGTAGGTAGTACTTTCGGTAAATATTCGTGAGTAACTATTCTCAAGACATTTCGGTATTAATTACGCTCAGCGTCTTAAGAAGACCTTTTAGATTTTTTGATTATTGCCAATTAGGTTTATTTTTAGTCATAGTAGAAACAGGGCATATGGTCTCTCGAAGTTTCTCCTTTATAGGGTATGTTTAATGCCTTCCGTGACTCACGGGAAAAGATGGATACCTTTGCTCCCTTGATATATAATAACTATTTATATATCAAGGGAGCAAAGGTATCCATTTCCTCCCGCGTGGGAAGTTTGATGCCCAACGCGTAGCGGAGGGCATCAAATTGTTATTTGTTTTATAGTAGTCATGGACACACTGATTAGGTACTTGGGTAGCACAAATCTTATGTGTATATCTCTACCAAGGAAGCATGCTGAAGCCAATTTATTTCACCTCCCACGGGAGGTAATATTTTTTTTCTCCCGTGGGAGTAAATTGACAGGTTTGTGTCCTCAAATGAGGGAGCCAACGCTAACTTTCTATGCAATGAGTAGATAAATAGTTATTTTTTCGCGTCATGTTCGTTCAGCGCCTTTGTACCAATCAACCTCACGGGTTAAACCCGTTGCCTCTCGCTTCCGGATTTTTGAAATGTACCAACCCCAGATGAATCAGGAATGTAAGTGAGAAGCCGTAGGTGTCATTAAAGTTTTCGCGGCGTATTTGTTTGCAGAATGGGTCTCCAAGTCCCTGCGGCGGCCACAGCATGGCAGGGCATACCCAACCAGCCCCAGCTACCTGCGACCCCACAACAAATGACAGCCCCTGCGGCCACGTTGCAGCAGCCCGGCCTCGTTTTCCCCATTCAGCAATATCAAGTGAGTGTGTCGGTTTCTGTGTATGACCGGAGCTAGGGGGAGCACCATCTGAGGAGTTGAATTTTCCCATACGTAAAAATGTCCTTGACTAACAACGAAATTTCTCTAATTCTCTAAAAGCGCGCATCAGGCATCACTTCATACTAACTAGGGGTAGGCGATAATAATTTTGAAATATCGATTCTTTCCATTAAATCTTAATCTTATAATCATGACGTATATGGAAGGGAAAGGGAACACTAACGAAATAAATATATGACTCTTAATTCAAAATCATGGTAATTATAATGAAGAATTCCACTTTGAATCCGAGTTTATTCTCAAGATTCATTGAAACAAAAAAATACGATAAATAATTGAACATTGAAGATATGTGAACATCTTTCCATGAAGAAAACTTCAACCTTTACGCCATGTCGTGAGTCATAGTATTTCCTCCAGTATGATCCCATCAAAGGGAAGTTCAACGCTTCCATACGGTTTCCAATGCTGTCTTCTGATAATTAACGGATATTTATCGAAAATCGTCGCAAATTATCGATATTTGCCCACCGCTACTGTTTGTTTTCAAGTTTTCGGATATGAGTTCTTGAGATATTACCATAGAGCTATAAATAATAATTATCATGGAGGAATTATAATCTTGATTTTTGAGTATATAAATAGATATAGAACATAGAAAGATCCGCATATCAACAATTTAACAATCGGACTAATCATCAGATCAGAGTATGTTGAATGAGACAGAGAGGTGTATAAAATGAAAATAATCCGTTTGTGCAGTATGGATAGGGATTTCCATTCATGTGTCTCTAGAGATAAAAAAACGGATAGCCCAACAAAACATTGACATTATTTCGTTCGAAAACAAGAATTTGAGAATGAAAATGTGAACAAACCACTATTTATCGAGATTCGAAGTTTCACCTTCTTTTTCCTCCTGTCTTGGATACGCATATTTGCCCTTCTTTTTCCATCATTGGACAATATATGTATCACGATGTACTTTGATCACACATTTTGAAAATGAAAATCGACAACAAATATCATTTTCTTGCGATTTTTCCATATTAAGTGAACAATCACACCAGCTGACGGCTATTCTGCTGCTATTCGATTATCAAGGACATGTCAAATATGCAAGAATTCACTTTCACCATGGGTAAATGAGAAAACTTTAATTTCTTCTGAAAATTCATATTACACAACTAGTTTAAAAAAGATTATGTTCTTGCAAAATGTCTTTCTGTTGACATTCGACCTTCATTTGAGAACTAAAATTAAATGGCCGTCAGCTGATAAGATTTATTGTTCAGTAAATATGAAAAATTCGTCAAAAAATCATATTTCTTGCTGATTTTCCTGAATAAAATGTGTCATTGAAGTACATCAGGAGTATATATAAAGTGTACGATGACAAAATAAAGAGAGCAAGTATAGCTGTGAATGCGTATTCAACACAGGTAGAAAATGAAGCCGAAATTTAGAACTTTCTCTTGAAATATCTCGATTAATACTGGTTAATTCACATTTTCATTATTGAATTTGTGTCTTCGGAAGATAAATACGTAGGCAAGAAAAAATTCTCGAAAAAAAAAACATCGCATGAAGTGCAAGATTACCTTTTTCTTGACTTCATTTCAAAGGCTCTAGAGAAGAAATGTGCATTTTGGAATATCTCTTCAACTCTTGAATCGCAGGAAAGGGAATTTTTATAATTATTTCCAGTTAACCTTTCATCGCAGATGCCACGACTCAGTTATTTCAAGAGTATTAACTATCAATACCATTATTGCCTATGCATATACACATTTTTCATTACAATTTTAATTGGGGTTGGTTGATCGTGAATAATGTAATAAAGAGCAAAGCAAAAACACAACTATAATACAGCAGTTCAGCATCTAAAAAAATATAGGTACAGGTGCACCGGGTTATTTCCAACTTAATTTGATTCAATCTTTCATTCACGAGTGGAACGGAGTACAATTAGTATATGACTGTCTGAAGAACTTCAGCACTTTACTTTTCAAATTTTTTTGTATCCCTCTAAAAATGATTGAGGATGATTGTCTAATTTTTTTATCATCAAGTATCAATAAATAAATAATTACCGAAAATTCACTAATAAGCAAGTTATCGCACTTTGCTCTTCAATTTCAATTTATTTATGAATCAAGAACTAATTGGTAGATAGGGTACATGAGTAATTCATTGTTGTTGTTTTAATATGGAGATTATGAATTTTGCTTCGAAAATATTTTAAATAGTTGTTGTCCTATCTAAGCCAATCGAGACCCTTTCGTCAAATTCGACTCCTCACATGGTGCTTGCCCTATACTCTAGTGTGTGTACGGCACGATATACCGCTTTTGCCGAGCATGATTGCTTCCGGCCCTATAGTGTGTCTGAAAATGTGGATCGTGAGAACGAAACTTAGCAGATGGCATGACCCGGAATTATCCCGCATCCCCATTAACATTCCCGCTCTCTTGACGGTTTTTCATGAAAATGAATTTTCGCAAGAATTTCGGTCAGTTCGTTCAACTCATTAATTGAAATGTTGGTCTCCGAGAAACTACCACTACGAATTCAGGGTGTTCCTGGAGAAGTAGTTGAAGCACAGCAACCGAAATCAACATAGCTGATGCGACATAAAACTGAATAACTATATGAAATCTCAAGAATTATATTTTTCACTTTCCCGTCACTCCCGGTTTGGCCGGAAAAGGCTCCGGTTTTGAATTTTTTAATGGAACACCCTGTATATTGATACATTTTTTGATCTATGAAACAATTCTAGATCAGACTGTGACATTTCGAGAAGTTTTCATGTCTACAGAAATTTTTTTAGTCACTTACAATATTGCATCCAGGTGGCCATGATCTAATGACATCAGGTGATGTCAGAAAATTACAGTCGCAAAGTTTTAGTGATTGATAGGAATAAGACAAGTTGGAAATATATCATTTTCATGTATAACTACTATTTTTCAAATTGCGACCATTTTTTGCACGCACTTTCCGTAAAAGGAGTTTTTGACGATACACATTTATTTGCAAATGGATCAAAAATATAAGAAGATAAATTGAATGTCACTAAGGAACATCATTTTTCGAGTGTGTCACGGATAATGATTGTCACATTCTGATATAGAATTGTCTCAGAAATCCAAAAATGTTCCATTCAAAAGTTCAGAGCCGGTGAAAACGGAAATGACCAGAAATTGATTATTATTCAGAAACCCTCCTCTTCACATACCATTTACCTTATCACTTTGATACTTCTGATATTTCACAAAGTCTTGTCTAATAGATTCGTTGACACCTGGTTTTTCAAGAAATCAATTTCAAAAAATATACAGGTTGTTCGTGGGTTACCATAATGGTCGAAAAGATTCCCCATTTTCATTAAACGAGGTAAAAATTCGTCAGTATATTGTGGAGTATAAATACGGAAGAAATCATTCTCTAAAGCTCATCAGTCTAATACATCGGGAAAAAATCATTATTACATTTAGATTATATTTTACAAGATACCTATATACATCCCTCTATCCAAAATATGTTTTACTAGTACATATTCCTGAGACTTAAATTGGCCAATTATTCTCAAATAGAAATAAACCAGTGATGTGAGACAAACTTTTCAAAATAACCAATTTCCCTGGCCTACCATGATTTGGGCATAAAATGCTACTGCGAGTGCATTAATAATATCAAGAGAAGTTTTTGAATCTTTCGAATCGAAACGATTCAAAATTGTGAGTATAGGTACATATAAGAAGTAAACAAATTTAAAATGAATCACCGTTTGTCTATAACTCAATATATTTTGATCTCATGAGCAGATGATTGGATAGGTACCTAGTGAATTAACGCATGGAACTACCCTGTGACCTAGTGTGCTCCTAGAGTTCTGAATCCCATTCATAGAATCACAAAGGAATAAGACCCACTCAATAAGTCATCTGCAAAAAAGGGAGAATTGTGGCTGCAGGGAATTCGCAGACTTTGAACTACTCTTGTGCACCTACACTTTTTAATATACCTAATCTGCCACAAGATAATTGCATGCACTCATAACTTTTATAAACTTCCATTTCATTACTGTTGAGACTTGCACACTCATATACAGCCACATGATTCACATGTTCAATAAAGTTTCAGGAATATTTATTCAGCTATTCATAGGTTGCATCATCTACAAACAAGCAAATGAACCGTTCCTTAGTAATTATCAGAACAATTTTCAATGTATTGGGTAGAGTACATCCTCAAACAGGTATTTGATATAAAAAATATGCCCGTTTCTACCACCAACTATCCAATACCATCTTTATCATCTTGAGATGATTCATCTCCCTCAGCGTTAACTACCGAGTATACCGACCCACCCTTCTTCATTATAAACACTAGATAGTTCAGTCTTGGATGCTTTTAATATTTGTTAAGGATATGATGAAGAGGATTGATCCTTGACCAAAGTTCTATGGCTCATCTTAACGTTATACGTTTCAAGTTCAGGATGTTATCTGCAACTACGAAACAATTTTTATATAAAAGTATGATTACTTCGCGAAATAGTATTTCTGGATTTGTGAATGCCCAGAACAGAAGTTGTAGAAAGTCTTGTGAAATAATACCACGTCCTCATTAACATTCCTGCTCTTGACTATCTAACTATGCCGACTATTTTCTTATATAGATATCACATGATGGTAATCTCCCCGAATCCAGTTCAGACAATGTGTACCAGGAAGTGAATTCGTTAATAATATGAGAACTAGAAAATTCTCGATCATGTTGATTCCTGTTTTCAATTTCTGATTATCTGTTTCCCATTGTTCTAGTTTTATAACATCTTGGATATTTTCCGAAAGATCTCGCAGAAGTATGACCTACGATACCGTAGCATAATAGCTAATTTCAAATAGGTCTCTCTGTCATATAACTGTTCACATCCAGACCTCAAAAATAAAATCATTTTATCCTATATATGCAAATGAGAAATAAGATTTTTGCACTCTGAATCGACAAGAAAACAAATCGTTATAGGTACTGATATAGTTTCTGTGTTTCATCGGATGTGCTCTGCTTTTTTTGGAAACACTTAGCGTTAAGAAACTTTTGCTTCTGTTGACCAATTGAGGAACATTGTGAAAGCTTCAGCAAGATATTATGAACACTATGTCGAGAAGTATCAACCAAAAGTTGGTCTGCATTCCTCTTGCAAGCATTCGAATATCGTATGATACCATACCAGCAAGGGCAGCAAGTTAACAAACAAAAGTATTCAGATTTATCATATTCAGGAGAATGGGGGAGACCACTGATTTTTCAAAACGACATCATCGTGAACTCTATACTGAAAAACTACCAGCGAATTAATTTTGAATTTTGTCATTCATGCTGAAACGATGAAAAAAATAAATTAGAATATGTCCATTTCAAAACACACAATTCCTGCGCCATTTGAAATTTTGTCAATTCATTGGTGTGACTGGTGCGACGTCCTAGTCCCAACACGCCTATTGTCCTTGAACTGACCAATCACACTGCAACACTGCAGAATGACGAGGTATCAGAAAGAGATAGCTACAGTTCGGGACTAATACGTCACGGCTCCACCATCGTATTTGGCTGTTTGAAATATGCTGATTTCAAAACGATATAGATTCGATTCCATTCAACTTCAACTCATAATATTGATTGTACATCAAACGTAAATCATGATTCGTCGATTGAAAGAGGTTTGCATGGATTTCTTCCCTCAGTGGACTTCCCCATTCTATTGATAGATAGCTAAACTTGAACAGGATGGTTGCACAGAATAATAGCAAGTCCTCAAGACTTTTCCTATGTCTCTCTTGGCCAATCCAATGCATTGTATAGTCAGTACTCTCAAATTCTCACTTCGAAATCTCCCGACTCTCAAAAGTTTCTAGTTGCCCAAGGTGGTGAAACTATTACATTACCCCAGAGTACACTCCAGAATAACTTTTCACTTTTAATCTTTCATTATCTGAAAACTTTCTGGAATTAATGTTTAATTCGTGCCGTGTCGTTTTCGCAATGAAAGTGATGAATAAGATATTGAATATATCTCTCTACATTTGCATCTACTTGATTGCGCTTGAACAATATTTTTGTAAACGAATTATGTTTGATCAAAGACATAAAACACTGATTTTCATCATAATCCCGAAAATAGGTGTTGATATGAATTATACACAGTTGAACAACTTCTGTGAACCGTACAGTGATCCAAACATGGTATGAATATGTGCTTTTCTTCTCAATACTGACTACTTATTTGACATTGGTATGGATATAACAGTATGTTCAATAAAGTCCGACGCATCAACCTGAATATTTTATGAATTTCGAAAGTTTATATTAGACAGGGGGAGGACTACTGAACTGATAAATTCTATATATAGCATGAAATGAAAATTTTCCGTAATATACCCACATCTAGTAGGATCCCCGTGCATCTCAGATGAGAAACCATGAAAATAATAAAGAGTACTATAAGCTTTGATCTTGAATGAATAGAGTTGTCCCAATTACCAAGAGGGAGACAGTGCTGTTTCAATCCACCATGCCTCATTCGCCGTTCTTCGTCTCGTATACCGAAGACATCGGACGATATATGATGATCTAGTCATGTAATCGCCATCTAGTGGCCTAAGGTCGAAGTAGGAAGGAATTTCTCGAGCTTCATCAGAATTAGAGTTTGAAATGTATCACCTTTTGTAGTTGAACGACAAAAAAATGAAATTGTATCTAACGTGTCATTATTTTTTTTTTCACGCATCAATACATTAATATGGAATATACTACATAACAGTATTGCTATTGCTGCATATATATATTTATATGTATAGAATACGATTCGAATGTCAATTGTGAATTTAGAGAGTTTTAGCACCTTCAGCTGCCAGTTTAGTCAAAAATATGTTTTCAACTTCAAGGAGGAAGATCAGAATTCAATATCATTCCTTGAATTGAGTAGCTATGAAAGGGAAATCTCATCAGGTGAAATATTTTCATGGTCTTTCATCACCTTCACATAAAAACACCAAAGCCCAATTGTTAAATATCAATATTTTTTTCTTTCAGGCCCAATGAAACACACACAATTGTCCCCAACACGATACAGTGATATATTGAAAAAAAAAACAACAAGAAATCGTAGAATCAGTACATAATCGCGTGGAAATCTAATTGTTCGTGCCAAATTTCAAGTAGCAACTAACAAAATTAACACACAACTGTAGAACTCCCAAGTCCATCCATTTTATGTTGCGATGACGAGGATGTAAGCTTCAATATAACTTTCCGACGTATGAATGGTGAAAGGTTGGACCTGTGCACCCGCCCAGGCTTTAGGCAGCCTAGCGCCTAGCCTAGCCTAGCCTAGCTCACGCCTCACCGACACTAGCTCACGGTTTCAGATTGCATGAGCCTATCGCCTTTCTCATTCCCCGTATTCCGGCAGCTAGAAGACGAATGGCTCGGCCCCGGCCTGCTGGTGTGAATGCGATCGCCGATGCCGATCGGATACGTTCGGACGCCTCTGGATAGTGGCCGAGCCCTGAGGAGCGCGCGATGTCATTCGAAACGTTGGGGCGACATCTCGACTGCTGGTCGCTCGCTGCTGATCGAAGATCCAATTATTTCACTTGAGTTACCTGTACTTCTGCGGTAGGGTTGTATTAATGAACGATTTAGGTATAGTGTTTAAGAGTCTGTTGGCTACTTTACAATTGGCCGACGACACCTTTATCTCTTCAACTTGCGAACATTCTTGATTTTTCAATGATTGAAAAATAGTCGCAATTTTTCTTTGTCAGTTTCTGCTTCAAACTCCAAGTCAGGTAAGTGTTTGCCGCTGCGATTCCACCATCTACATTCTATCTGAGTGATTTCTTCAAACTATCAGCTTTTTTTCATGGAAGTTTGAGATTAGTAGTTCGAGATAACGATTTATTTTTCTACAAAATATTATGATTTCTGGCTTTTAGCATTTAAACAGATGGAAAAGCATTCTTGAAAGCAATTGAAATGGTTATAATATCTATCAACTTTTGTTAAAACCATATCTACTCGAAACTCTCAAGGGATTTCGTAGGAAGCGCCAGATTATATCAGATATAGTATAGCTCGCCCTCGTATCTTATTGAGGAAAATGGAATAAAGATGAAATCTAACAGCACGTGTGATTTAACATGAATGTACTCTCGATTCAAGGAGCTGTAACTTTGTGTCCCTTGATATAATTCCAACAATATTGAAATTGAACCCTGAAGTATTCTTGATTTCTCGACGGAAAATATTCATGTTCATTTAATGAATAGATATAGTTGGAATTCTGGAAATTATTTTTATCCACAGAGTTAGAGGTTTATTCTTCCTTATGAGAGAAAACTATTTATGCAGGAATAGCTGAAAGGAAAAATTGGCAATCATTTTTGTCCAGTCAAATGATTCGTTAAAATTGCCACAGATCCGCTTATTTCAATAAATATTGAAACACTCAATATCCACCGAGTTCTGACTACGAGAAAAACCAAACCAAATAATGGATATTGAAAATGTTGAATGGTTCATTCAGCGAACACGAATCCTCGTGGTTTTATGCATCAGTATGCTGTAAAATCATTTCAGCGTGAATTCTAATTATTTTCATTCTGAATATAATATTCTAGTGATCATTTATCTCGTTTTATTCGCGGTTTCATTTTTATTCTCAAGATTATCAATAGTACTTGAACATCTTGGAGAAAAATGTCCAAACAAAATCTTCGATACAAATGTCGTATATGAATTATTGTGAAATAACTTGGTGAACATCCACAATTATGATTTGTATTTATACAAGGTGATTCATTAAGAATCGGCAATCTCTGAACTACAGTTAGAAAACATAGAAATATGAAATGAATATTATAAAAATCTTGCTTATATCACTGACAAGCTACTGGATTTTTCTTGTAGACAACCTGATAGAAAAATGTGTTAAACGCAGTGACATTTTGAGGCAAATCATCTGATTTGTCCCACTACAAATATATTGAAATAATATTCATATTTTTATTTTATAGAAACGAGGAGAGAAAATCCCAAAGAATTTGGAATAATGAATGTATACCACCTCCTCGATTAACCTACAGACAGTACTCTTTAAGAGGGAATAACGCAGAAACCGTTAGAGCTGGACAATTTGAAAGAGATTAAATTATTTATGTGAATCTGAACGGGCTTTCTGATTTTTGACTCAATTTAATAATCATTCGATGGGCAAGGAAGATATGATGTAATTTACCGAAGTAAGAGAGTGCCACTAGCAACCTCTATGAGCAATCACAAAATATGTTACAAATTCGTATTTCTTATGTCAGAAAACCTGGAACTACGAAATTCCATGTTCATGCTGTTGAAACTTGCAATGTTATTGGGAAATTTCAAAATAAACCCTTCCCCTTGTATCTCCTAAACCAGAAAGGCATATTATGCAAATCTTCATATTTTGGTGTTTCAGAGATCGCCCATTCTTGATGAATCACCCTGTATAATAATCATTATTGGAAACATTTTTGGGACTATCAGAGAGGATAGAATCGATGATACCCTTACATTATGACAGCTATCATCATTCATATTAAGAAAATCAAAATCCGTCGAAATTTTTTTTACTTTCATGTTAGGTAGATAGGTAGGTAGGTATAGATTATCATCCGCATAAGACGATAATTAGAGATGTTGGAAGAGTGGAAAGTACAAATTCTCATCTAAATTGAGAAAAACAAACCAATGAACTGAGTTTAATGTCTAATAGCCATACGAAGCACTCTCAGTTAAGTTTTTATATAAATATGCAAAAAATAACTGGGAAAGGAAAGCGAAGAGGCTTTATCTCATTCCATACCATCTGTTGTTTCACCAAATGAAAGTTATATACATATATGTTCATTAGTTCCATGAATAATATTAATAATATCAAAAAAAATATATACCTGAGGGTTATTTTTAGAGGTGATTTGGTCTCAGCAAATCAACAATTATGCAAAGAGTTTGTGAAATATTCTTAGTTATTGTCGAATGTTATATAATAAACATAAATTGACAGGTTTATCGCAAAGTATTGCTATTTTGGATTCCAGTACTACATTTCAATATCATACAATGTTCAATCATCAATTTTGGGAATGTTTGTATAAGTTTTACAGGTGTTGTGTGTCCTCGGCTATTGTAAAGTAATTGTCATAAAAACGGCTGGTTCATTCAGTCCGTGCGAGTTTGACATGTATAAACACAAGTAGACTAGAAGAGGAAATTTAGATAGGTTAGTTGGTAGTTATGTAATCATCATGTATAACACGGCAGTTGCGATCCGAATTTATACAACGAGCACGAATCAATACGGATCAGGCAAGAACAATCGATCATGCTATGTACAGTGTGATCAATATTTGGAGCTACATCGCTATTTCGGAAATATAAAAAATAGGAACTTTAACAAAATGTATGTGAAAAAGCTTGTTTTTGAGTCCATTTCTGATTAATTGTTTTTCGAAAAACAAACCCTCTATATAGGTAATGGAATGATTCCTTAACCACATCGCTTAATGTATTGTTAATTTTTTTTTCAATGAACACCCAATGTATTTTCCCTGACAACATCGCTTGATGTGTTTAATTCATCAATGGAATTTGACAGAAATATAATGGACTGCAGAATGAAAAATTTGGATATTCGATATTGAAAGAAGAAAAAAAAAAGAAGGTTGTAGAGGAAGACGTCGGGTGTGCCATTCGTTGTTTCCACTTGCCATATTCATGTCAGGTAAAAATGAACACATAATCTGAATCTCCATGTGGACACCCTTTGTTTTTATTATTTGTCCTATATTGTGAAGACAGATTTGAATCATTGTTTTTTCACATTTAATTCCGAAAAAAATTTGTGGGTGAAAAAATGTTCAACGACTCGATCTTTTTTGTTTGCATATTGTTTTTTATGAAATTCTCGATGGGTCCCCATGCTAAAAGTAAATTTTTCTAAATCACCTTCACATGTTGAAGTCACTAATTCATTTTGTTTTCTATGTTTTGCACTATTATTAAGAGGTTCAAACTCGAGAACTAACCAGAGACTCTGTCTTTCTGATCAGATTGAAAATAAGGTCGATGGACCAGAAATGGTATTCTGATTCCTTTAGTTGGGTGAGTTGATACTCCAGTTTCTATACTCACACATTGGACGGACCCTATCACTCAACACCATTCTACAGTTTTTGAATTATCCGTCACTCATATACTCATCATTTGATAGAAGAGTTTGTACTTTTTAGCAGCCCGTTCTGTTGTTCTTTTGTTCAGAATTCATTGTATTTCGTAGTTTGAAATGTGATCGACTTCTTGATTTTTTTTCTGATGCGGGATTGTCTGATACCTATAGTCATTCTGCTGATTTTGGAAATGACTTTTCCACACAGTACTTTTCACTATACTGCCTCCCTATACTTATCAAATGTTCATGCTATTTTGTTCCATCTATGTTGTGCAAGTGGTTTATTGTGGCTCACTCCTAGAGGTTACAGGTTACTGTTCATCATGGTTGAATGAGGTGCGCTTTTTCTGAAGACGTCTGCCTCTAACTTGATGAACCCAAATACGTTGAACCTTGGTCTCTCTCTAAGAGTATGAACATAATAATATGTTCTTCAGCTGGTGGTCTTCAACAGAACCGTCCGTTTGTTATATCAGAACTACCATTTCTAATACTTTACACGACATTGTTCTGTTTGCAGTGCTGTCAGAACTTGCAGGTTACTCCAACTTCTCCATACTAGGATCTAACTCCTGAGTCCGGTTCTGGTCCTATGAAAACAGAGTTTGCTCCTCTTTGGTGAGGATGTCGGCTTTCTCGTTACGCTTTACCCCCTGATATCAACAGCAGAAATCCAAAGTTATGTTATTGTTTGCACTTGCACCAAGCCAGTCTATAGGGATTCAATCAATGCAGCCCCGTAGAGCTCATTGTAGTTCACATCTGTAAGTCTCCTGCAAATAATTCAGTAACGAAGAGTTGTATCATGACTTTCAGTAATAATCAAGATTTCAGTTATTGGTTACCTACCTGTTGAACATACCAGCTCCTAAACCATCTCCGTAACGCGATCTCCTCTGAAAATGGGTTTGATCCAGTTTTCCACTCGTTTCTTCTTCTTCGAGAAAAGGTATCTAATTGAAAGACTTCTCTACGTGAGTACCTACCTACCCAACATGTCAAGAACCATTTCCAAAACAATGGAGTAATAAGGATAGTTAACAAAGTTGCCTGACAAAAAATAAACGTGAAAATACTCAAATTTGTTTCTCTACCGCTAAATTAGGATTCTTCTATCTCGAAAATAAGTCAAGAAATCACAAATGAACAATACCTATACAGGGTTTTTCACGATGAGCGTTAATTAGACGTTTCTGGGAAACCAAGCAACAGATAAATCTGAAAATTTGTTGATATGTATAAATTGACATGATCTACACGTCTAAAATATTTAAAACGATGCGGCGTTGCCGCTTCAACTAGAAAGTAGCAGCAACTTTGATTTTTCAAACAGAACACCCATATTTCATTGCATTTGAATGTTCAAAATCGAGAAATTTCAATTTTGAGATTATTTTGCGTCGAAACTATTCATTATCGGTCAAAACGGCTCTCATGTCCTCATCTCAACTTTTGATTTACTATCTACACTTACTATCACAACTGGAACAGATACAGGGTGATCAAAATTCTGAATCTTATACCACCCTGTATTTATTGTTCCAATTGAATGTCATTAGATAGTAAATCCAAAAGATAGGGACATGAAAGCCGTTTTGACCGATAATAAATAGTTTCGACTAAAAACAATCCTAAAGTTGAAAAATATCGATTTTGAACACCTTATATCTCTGTAA